TGCTATCCTTACCTGGTCTGGCCTACATGTGACTCCAGACCCACAGCAAAGTGATTGACTTAACTCTGGGCAATTAGGAATGGGCAATAAATGCTGTCCTAGCCACCAACACCTTAATCTGTGAATGAATAAAAAAAAGTGGTATCATATCAAATAGCTTCTGGAAATTTAAGCACAACATATCTAGTGGTTCCCCTTTATCCACAGCAGATGTTATTTCCTCAAAGAATTCCAATAAATTGTTTAAATATGATCTCCCTTTCAAAAAACACATTGGCTTTGCCTGAATATACTGAATCTTCTAAGTGCCCAGCTTTAATGTCTTTAGTAACAGCTTCCAACATCTCCTCTATGATAAATATTAAGCTAGCTATATAACCCTATGATGCTATAACTGGCTTGCCGTTTTCAGCTTACTGTCTCCTTCCCTTTTTGAATAAAGAAATTATATTCACAGTTTTCCACTTTAATGTAATCCTTCCCAAATTTAGGAAATTTAAAACTAATATATCAACCATCTCACAAGCCATCGAATACCCTAGGATGAAATCCATCAGGTTCCAGGGACTTATCAGCACACAGCTCCAACAATTTGCTCAGTCCCAACATCCCAATGACTGTAATTTTTTTCAGGTCCTCCCTCCCTTTCATTTCCTGATTTACTTTTGTGATGTTACTTGTATCTCTACAGTGAAGAACAATGTAAAATACTTGTTTAATTCATGTGTCATCTCCTTATTCTCCATTAGTAATTCTCCAGGAAACTTCGTAAAGGACAAATACTTAATTGCTTAACGCTTTTCTACATAAAATATTCAGAATTTATGGCTAGCTTTTTTTCTTGAAGTTTGAGATGATCTTTAACTTTTTTTTTAGTTAAACATAAATGGTGAGTGCTCCCCTTGGAATTATTCTCTCTCATTTGAATGTTTATTCCATGTATTCTGAAATAGCTCCTTGAATGCCTGCCACTGCATCTCTATTGGCATATCCTTTAACCAAATTTGCAGTTCATTTTAGCTAGCTCAGCTATAATGCCCTCAGAATGACCATCATTTAAGTTTAAAATATTAGTCTTGGACTCATTTTTCTCTACTCAAATCGAACATAGAATTCAATCATGTTATTTTCACTGCTTCCTAGGGATGTCTTTACTACAAGATCATTAGTTAATCCCGTCCTGTTGTATAGTGTCAGCTACAGTAAAGCCTGCGCTTTGTACTGCAGATGTGAGAGATATAAAGTAAAAACAGAAAGTGCTGTGTTGGCAATACTGTGATGCAGACTGTGTGATTTATATAGATTGTTAATAGCATTCAATTTAAATTTGAATATTTAAATTTTGAATTCAGGATATATGGGTTCTTCTACGTGTATGAAGAGTGTAATGATTAGCCTGTAGGCTTTTCTGTAGCCAAGGTGATTTCTTTTGAAATCTGAGGGAGTAGATTTCATAACTGCTTTTACCTCTAGCAGGAATTATATCCCACCAAAGCTCTAGGGTCACCTATCGATTTAAACTTGTACTGTTCATTCTGTCCTGTTATGGAGTCGTTATCATTTGATTTATCACATTTTCTCAAATTTTATCTAATTTAAAATCCTCTCTATGTCCATACTTCTATGACTTACTGGAACACCAGCCCTAGCACAGTTGAGATGCGGACCATTCCAACAATAAAACTTCCACATTTCCTAGTATAAGTGTCAATGCCCCATAAACTGCACCTCTCTTGCACTAGTTTTTGGGCCAAGCATTTGTTTCCCTAATCTTATTCACTCTTTGCTAATTTGCACATGGCTCAGGTAATAATCCAGAGATATCCAGAGATTATTACCTTTGAGGTTCAACTTCTTAATTTGGTGACTCTGCAGACCTTTTTCCTTCTCCTGCTTACTTCATTGAAACTGACATGTACCAGAATGACCAGATCCTCCCCCTCCCATTGTGAGCTCTTCTCTACAGCTGAGCGACCTCAGCACTGGCAGCTATCACACACTTCTAGATACTCACCCTTTGCTATGGAGAACAGCGTCAACCCCTGTCATTATACTATACCACTGCATTCCTTTTTGCTCCCCTCACTTGAATTACTTCCTGAATCACAGTCAGTTAGCTCAACCACCTTCACTTCCATCAAACCAAGCTGAAAGAACCTTAAACCTGTTGGAGATTTGCTCAAACCTGTTGGAGACCTAGGCATCTGCATCCTGCTCTCCAGGTCCCCAACCTGCTTCATTCACAGAACCTTTTTCAAGTGACCAAATCAGAAGACCTTATCCTAAGAGATATCCTGGAATGAAGTGTCCATGTAATTTTCCCCACATTGGTGTGGTGCATGTCTGTAGTTCTTAGGGGAGAAATAAAAATTGGTTAAGTGTTGGAGTTTAGAAAGAGGAAGAAAGGTGGAAATTGAAGAGCATTCAATAGGTAAGGGGAAGAACCTTTGCAATAGGAAGGTGCTGGAATAAACTGTAACATCATGATGATTTAACTGGTAAAATTAAAGTACTGAAAAACAACAATCCAATACAGATTTCATAAAATCAGAATATTTTGACAGGTTAATTGGGCAGTAATTAAACCAATTTAGAAAATAAATGGAACATTTCTAAGAACAACACAAATCATGTGGAAGACCAGTAATGTGCTGACATTGAAAGAAAGAAGCATTAAAGAAACAGCTAAGATGGCTGATTAGTCCTTTAAAAAACAGAAAGAAATAAGATGCAAACTAAATGTTTCCACGGACTGAAGTTGTATAATGCAGAAGTATATACAAAGGTACAAAGAAGATAGGAGGACGGATTTTATAGGCCACCCCACAGGCAGGAAAGCAGATGCCCTCTTGTACCTTTTATGAGTGGGAACAGCATCTCCCTGTCGACCCTATCACTCACGAGTTTGCAAATCTCCATCAAATCTCTTCTCAGCCTCCTCCTGTCCTTGGAGAACAGTCCAAACTTCTTCAATTTATCCTTATAACTTAATTTCCTGACACATGAAACCATTCTTGTAAATCTTTTCTGCACTCTCTCCACTGCATTCACAACTTTCCTATGTGGCAGCCACAACTGAGATCTGACAAATGTCTTATGATAAGTTCAGCATCATCCCCTTGCTCCTGTACTCGGGACACTGTATGCTTTATTTATTGCTCTCTCCATCTTTGCTTCTCTTTCTTTAGCTTTTTCTCCTCCCCTAGGTATTCCTCTTAGTTCTCAGTTGTATTTTCTGCCTTAAAAAAGTACTTTTTTCTTTTCTAGTGCTAATCTCCACATCCTCTGTCATCCAGGAAACTCTGGATTTGTTTGCCCTACCTTTCTCATTTGAGGAAATGTACCTCAACTGTATCCAAACCATCTGCTCTTTGAAAGTAGACCATTGTTCAGTTACTGTTTTTCTCCTCCAACTCTGTTCTTGCTCCATTGAAATCAACTCTCCACTAATTGATTATTCTTACTCTGGATTGTTATATGTCATTCTCCACCACCATTCTGGACCTCATGCTACACCAATGATCCCTGTCTCCTAAATGATCCTTCCCGGTCTACTTGGTCCACCTCATTGCAAGGACCAGGTCGAATAGCACATCCTTTTTTGTAGAACTTGACACTCACTGCTGCAGGAAACTCTTCTGAACATGATCTAAGAACACTTGCCTCTTGCGTCCCTTACTCCACCAAAACCCCAGTCTACATTTGACCAACCAAGGTCCCTGATTATAACTGCTCTATAATGTTGGCATTTCTCTGTAATTTCCCTGCAGATTTGTTCCTCAACATCTTTTCCACTAGTTGGTGGTCTACAAACTACACCAAGCAATGCAATTGTACCCTTTTTATGTCTTAGCTCTAGCCAAATTATGACTGTCCTTGTACCCTGTGAGACATCTTCCTCCAGCACTGTGGTGCCTTCCGTAAAACCCTCCTCTCCTTCTTTTGCTATCTTTCCTGAACTTATATCCATGAATATTTAACACCCAGCCTTGCCTTTCCTTGAGCCAGCTGTATCCCATCTACTATTCCCTCTTACTTCAAAGCCCTCCCAACAGCACCAGCAGAACATTAGGTAAGGATCTCTGTTCAGGTGCGACCAATCCAGCTTGCACAGGTGCCAGCTTCCCTAGAACCAGTATCAACATCCCAGAAATCTAAAGCCCTCTCTCATGCACCATTTTTCCAGCCATGTATTCATCTGCCTTATACTGCTTTTCTGCACTCACTTTCACGTGGCACTGGGAGAAATCCAGAGATTACTACATATGAGATCATGCCACCCAGTTCCCTAAATTCTGATTACAAGACCAGATCCCCCTTCTGAACTAAGTCATTCATACCACGTGGACCACAACCTTTGGTTGTTCACCTCTCCCAGAAGAAGGTACTATAGTTGTCCATGAGCTTGGCACCAGGGAGGCCATGTAACATCCTGCAGTCACATTGACAGCCACAGAAATGCCTGTCTGCTCCCCTACCTAATGAATTTCCCTCCTCCTTTCTTTTTCCTCTCCTGTACAGTCAGGTTGCTCATAGTGCCAGATGCTTGGCTCTGACTACACAAGATTTAGGAACCTGTGCCCTCATCATCAATCCACACTGGCTCTCTCTGATCAGTTTAAAATTTTCAAGATGTTCAGTGAACTCTGTAATGTCCAGTCAATTGTAATTGAATGGCATCTTAAAGAATGCTTTATGTTAAAATTCGGGTGAGCCAAACTTATGTTCAATTACAAACTGGAAAATTTTGACTTGTACTTTGGCAATGAAAGATGTATGTGTAATGCAAATGATCATTACCGATAGAAAATGGAAGTGATACAATTATGCAGATCTTAGAGAATTGCTCATTACATAGCCTTGTAAGAATGTAAAGACATTTTCACGTATGCACCCAGCACAGTTCCTCTGAAACCTATCAAATGACACTCTTCATTTAAGGTTTGTGAGGGTAATGAATTAATTAGAATTGTTCTTATTGTTAAAATGTAAACACCTACCTCAAAATTGACAGGCAAGTTGCGCTTCAACGCAATCTCAAATACCAAGCTGATTTCAGACTTGTTGATATCAGTTTCTTCCTCTTCATTTGAAATTTCTTCACTCTGTGAAATATAAGAGACGGAATTTTATTTTAGTGAGTTATCTTGGTTGTGATCCGCAGTGTAATATGATTATATATAGATGCTGCCCCTCAGGAGACATTCAAAAACACAAATGTCTAATTCTAAATATATGCAGTCCACGCCTAGTTCTACCTGACCAACACTTCCTTTGATACCTCCATTGTCTTTAAATTACCAAACTGTTTGCCTAAGGTCCAATACTGAATGAGCATAAATTTCCTCAAATACTAGGAACACCTAAGCCAATATCTTTAGACCATGTTACAAACTGTTCCCTAGCCACTTGCACGAATCTTGTGTTGTTTTGGTTGCATCGGGCTTTTTGGAGAGTCTTTCACCACGAGGCCTAGAAAAATGCCTGATCCTTTTTTTTAAACCAAACTCACCTTATTAATTAAAAACCAAAAGAACCGTGAATGCTGTAAATCAGAAACAAAAACAGAAGTTGCTGGTAAAGCTCAGCAGGTCTGGCAGCATCTGCGAAGAGAAATCAAAGTTAACATTCTGAGTAAGGGTCACTGGACCCGAAACATTAACTTTGATTTCTCTTCACAGATGTTGCTGGACGTGCTGAGCTTTACCAGTAACTTCTGTTTTTGTCACCTCATTAACTATTTATCCTACTCAGCATGGCATCCTTTTCATCTGATTCTATCTTCACCTTACCACATGCCCGAAACAACTTGCCATTTCAGCGATAGCTACAGAAAGACCAGCAGCCACCCAGAAAAGCACTGGCATTCCACAACTATTATTCCTATTATTTGATGCTGAATAGGGGAAGATGGTGCTGTGATTCTCTGACAGGGTCCTAACGGTCCCAGTGGCAGGCTGGCCCAGAGAAGGGGCATCCTTTTCTCAGAGGATCAGTAAAGGAGAGGATGCTTTCTTTCCAGGGGACCAGCAGAGGTGGCCACAATACCAGCAACCTGGACTGAGGTTGTTACTTGGGTCAGTATGGTTTCCACAGCGAAAGGCATGGCCAGCAGTGCAGCAAGAAGGTCAATTCTGCCAGACAACTCTTCCTGTTACCTCACATTCACTCTATTCCTGCTACTGCACCCAACTCCCACCAAGGCTCAGTATCTGTCACTCTCACTTGTCCCATCAACATCTCTTATTCATTCTCATACACTCCCAGTCCACACACGGCTCACTCTGCATGGACTCTACAATGCTTACTCACTAACATGGGACACCTCACTACGTTTTGACCACCTGCACCAGCACTAACACTGCCACCAATTTCATCTCACTGAATCTCTCTCATTCCAGGAAAAAAATCACCCCTCAGTGGGGAAGACAGGGATAGTACAGTTGGAGGAGTGCCAGCACAACGGACTCTTAGACCTTTTGAGGAAAGAATGTTGTCCGCTGCAGGAAAACATCCTGTGGGGATGCCTAGACGCCTATATTCTATCTCATGTGTTAGCAACATTCTTTATTTCACTACAACTCTCTCATGAATCTTGTGTCAGTGTCTTTCTTCGCACTCCACTTTCAGCCATTGGCCACTATGCCTTCTCTCTCTTGGGTTTTCCACTACTTATGAGATGTCCTTTATCTTGGCAGAAAAATGGCCTCCTCCCCAGGACCACCTCCCTGACATATAGAATAGGCATATAAAATGATTGCTCAAGAACGGTCACTGGACTCAAAATGTTAACTCTTTTCTCTGCACAGATATCGCCACACCTGCTGAATTTCTGCAGCAATTTCTGGTTTTGTCTGTTTTAGATTTCCAGCATCGCAGTTCTTTGTTTGAATTTAGTGTGAATGGACAGCTATGGACAGCTAAAGAACCACCAGGAGGGGGAGCCATTAAGAATTCACTCTCAATGGTGGCACTGCCAAGAATATGAGCGCGAAAGACATGCTGAAGTATTTGCAACTATCTTCGGCCAGAAATATCAACTGGATAAACCATCCAGGTTTTCTGCTGAGGTAAGTACAATCATAGATATTGGTGCCAATTCCAGGAAGCTACCAATCAAGACTGGGCAACTGACATGGAACGAGCTATTAACGTCAGCCAACAGACCACAAGAGCCAAGAAAAGACAGAACCTGCAAGACAAGCTAGCCACACTTACCCACAAAAATGACAAGAACAGAACAGACACATGGATAAGGAACCTCTCCGACAGGAAACTGACAGACATGGAAAAAGCCGTTCTCACCCGAGGAGTGAACTACAACTACAGGGACGCCAACAAAACGGAATTCCTAGCTACACTGGAAGCCACACTCAAGACCAACAATATCAACCAAGAAACACAACAAACATAAGACAGACAATAGTCCCGACACTAATCAGAAGGAGTGAACTCAACACCCTCAACACACGGGAATGACAAGCCCTGGACGGGTTAAAGAAGGACAAGAACATCACAATACTACCTGCAGACAAAGGGTGCATGACAGTGATAATGAATAAAAGGGACTACATCTCCAAGGCACAAGCACTGCTCGCCGACGAGAACACATACCGGCCAGTACAGACTGACCCGACACCGCAACTAGGCAACAAAATCCTCTACACGCTACAAAGACTTAAACAAACAGGACAGATCAACAAAACAGACTTCGTAAAAATGAAACCCGAAGGAACCAACACACCCCTATTCTACGGCCTCCCTAAAGTGCACAAGCCGGAAGTCCCCCTCAGACCCATAGTCTCCCTACCAGGCACTCCATCGCACAGATTAGCCAAAGAACTACAAAGACGACTCAGGCACCTAGTCAACAAGTCACCCTACTCTATCCACTCAGCCCAAGAATTCCTCAACTCCATCAAAGACATAAAGATAGAGGATGAAGAGACCATGATATCATTTGATGTCACTGCCCTATTCACATCAATAGACATACCACTAGCAAGGGAAACAATGACAACACTACTTGAACAAGAACACGACCCCAGTGAAACCATCTCAAAGGACAACATGCTCAAACTATTGGACCTATGCCTGACCACCCACTTCACCTTCAATGGCCAAACATACGAGCAAATCAACAGGACACCCATGGGATCGCCTATCTCCGGACTCATAGCAGAAGCAGTGATGCAAAGACTGGAAAGGACCGCACTTCTGCAAATCCAACCTAAACTGTGGATATGCTACGTAGACGACACCTTTGTCATCATTAAACGGACCAAATTAGAAGAGACACACAAACTTATAAACAACACCCTCACCAGAATAAGATTCACCAGAGAGGAGGAGAAGAACAAACAGCTCCCATTCCTGGATGTCATGGTAGAGCGCAAGACAAATGGGGAACTGCAAACGAAAGTACACCGAAAAGCCACACACACAGACCAGGTACTGAACTTCAACAGTAACCATCCCAGCACACACAAATGAAGCTGTGTGCGAACACTATTTAAGAGGGCAACAACACACTGCAGCAACATGGAACCATGCCAAGAGGAAGAAGAATACCTCTTCCAAGTGTTCAAGGATAACGGATATCCAAAGAACTGGGTCAGAAGACGCCTACAAGAACAGCATCAGAAAGATTCTACACGCCCCGACGCATTCATCACACTACCCTACATCAGGAACACGTCGGAACTCATCACAAGACTCCTACGACTGCTGGGCATCAGAGTGGCACACAAACCCACGTCAACCCTACAACAACTGCTCACCCGAACTAAAGACCCACTCCCCGCCATGGACAGAAACAATGTCATCTACAAAATCCCCTGCAGAGACTGCGAGAAACACTACATCGGACAAACAGGACGGAAACTAACAACAAGAGTACATGAACACCAACTGGCTACAAAAAGACACGATCAATACTCACTCATCTCAATCCACATGGACAAGGAGAACCACGACTTCGACTGGGACAACACTAAGATCCTGGGACAGGCTAGGCAGAGACAAGCACGAGAATTCCTGGAAGCATGCTATTAAATAACACATTGAACTCGACCCCAGAGACATTCCAATACGAAGGAAAGCCAGAAGTGAGGCAATCCATCTCAACGGACCCCAGAGTTTAAAAACCAGGCGGGAAAACACACCAACGCTTCATCAGAGGCTGCACTGAGGATGTTACCCAGCGTGGTAACGAAACGTCTGCAAAACAACAAACCAGCTCAGCAAGCCAACCAACCTCAACACCCACAACCCAAGCTACAGATCTACTCCAAAACCTTATTGGTGCCAATTAGATTTGTTCTAAATGAGATCATGATTCTGCTGATCACACTTTATACACAAAGAACAAGGCCTGCACCACAACTTGACTGTAATGCTAAAGACCTCTACTCTAGAATCAGCTGTTCCTCAAGCGAAAATGATCCAGTACAACTATGATACTGGCACCTACCTAATAACATGTTCAGTTTAAGTTTAGCTGGGTCCACTCAGCTCCAAGCTTCATTCCAGCATTGAACCAATCAAGGATTAAATAGCTGAATTCCAGAGATGAAGTAAAATTAACTGCTCTTGACATCAAGCAGTATTTCATTTCATTGGGAATATAGGTCAGAAGAAATAGGGACACTTATTGACTGATGATATACTGTGCAAAAAGGAAGATGGTTGTGTTTTCTGGAGCCCAATCACCCCAGCCACAGAACATTACTGTATGAAATGAAGGGAGTGTCCTAGGAAAATCCACCTTCAATTGCTTCAACAATTACCAATGCTGCATTGTAAAGTGAGAAATGGAATGTCCACTGACATTTGCACAGTGTTCACACCCATTCACAACTTCCCAGACAATGAAGCAGTGTATGTCTGCATGTGCAAGGAACTGAGCAACATGCAAGCTGGGGTTAATTAGCAGCCAGCAACTTTTGCACTGCACAATTTTCAGGTAATGGCCATCTCCAGCAAGAAATAATCTAAACACTTGCGCATTCACAGGCTGACTCTCCAAATGAACAATTCGCCTTCACATTCTTCCTTTTCAAATAATAATCCAATTCCCTCTTGAATGCCTTGACTGAAACTGTAT